AGAATTATATAAAAATATAAGAATAGATTAATGCATGATAAATAATCAAAACTTCTTATTTTAATTTGATTACCTGATATAATTATTAAAAAAGGCACTATTAAAATAAAGTGGCATCAACAGGATATATTGAAAAAAACAATAAAACATGTGCCATGGATTTAGCATTATTAAACTTGAAATAAAATATAAGGAATATGTAATAATTAAAGAAATAAAACTATATCTAAACTCATTAACGTGTATAATATTTAATGGATCATATTCAACATGAAAATAATAATAAGAATTAGTATTATCATGTGTAAAATTGCTATATTGATAATTATTATCAGTAGAAGTTATATTTGTGCCACAATAAGTACATCAGGAAGTATAAACCGACATTATTATAGCATTAAATATTTTAATAAAAAATCCTTGAAATCAACGCTCTCTACGTTGAGATTGCATTAACCTTAAATTAATACTAAATTAGCGTTATTGTAGGCGATAAAATAACAATAATCAATTTAATATTTAAAATAGTACAACGATAATTTGTTTATAATAAATTGTTATAATTACATATACGATATTACGATAAATTTTATTTATTATATATATAATATTATATTAAATATATATTCATTATATAAATATGAATAAATCTATATCTCGTGAGGTAAATTAACTTCTTAAATCTTGAACGACACAATAATTAATTCATAAAGTTGAAGAGTATCAAACTTTGCGTGAAACGATACATTAAACTTCGCATATATCGGACAAAGTAATTAGATCTCGCGTGATCTAAATATATGATTTTAATTGTAAACAATAGCATTATTATTCATCATCGGCTTCTAGAACTCCCATAATAAGTATTTTTTGCTTCGTGATCATATTTTCATATATTATATCATACATATGTCGGGTCTTACCAAAATCAATATGTAAAGATGTAAAATAAAAAGAATTAATAAAAAGAAAAAGTGAAAAACAAAGTAATAATAGAGAAACAACCCATGCACTATCCATAGCCGAGTACTAAAAAATCCCAGAAGAAAAAGGTGTGTTATTAGAAAATGGCAAATAGAAAAATAAATGGTCCCATTATATACCCTGCTAAAAAATTATTAGTAACCCAATATAATAGTGCGCAAGCAGAAAAGAAGCAATACTTATATTATATCAATCTTAGTTCTAAGTTACAGTAATTCGAATCAAAACCAATGAAGCCAATATTTACTGTATAAAAATTGTTCAAGTAGAAGAAAAGAAAGGTATAAGCTATAACATTCAATTTGAAATTAATTCGAAGCTAATACCTACAGAAAAAGGTATTAGTTAGTTCACAGTTAAAGAAAAAAAAAAGTTTTACTTATACAATGATTAGATCTTTGAGGCTTTATATTAGAAGAAAAAAAACCTTCATTCATATAAAAAACTAAATCTCCGTTTAAATTAAAGTTTCATAGAATTCATAAAAGAAGAAAGACTAAATTCCAGTTCAATTTGAAGCTAATTCGAAGCTAATACCTACAGAAAAAGATATTAGTTAGTTCATAGTAAAAGAAAAAAAAAGCTTTACTTATTCAAAGACTACTGTAGATCCTCAAAGCTTCGTATTAGAAGAAAAAAAACTTTTACTTATATAAAAAAACCAAATCCTTGTTTAAGTTAAAGTTTTGTAGAATTCGTAAAAGAAAGACCAATTTCTGTTCAAGTCAAAGCTAATTCAAAGCTAATACCTACAGAAAAAGGTGAAAAAAAAACTATAAAATGACTTGGTGTTTATAGAAAACATTACTTCTAAAACAAAAGAAGTCACAAAACTGTTCGAAGTTGAATGAGAGAGATCAGAGATAATCATACTACATAAATAATGAAGTAATATTAAATCACATGATCAAATAGTAAAATAGTACATACATCAGATCAATATACTGGTGATCCAAACTCTGTTTAATTCTTTCGATTCTGTTCATAATTTTTCTAACTTTTTAGTACTAGGTTTAGCAGCTGCCATATATTTAAATTAACTCATTTTTAGAGAAATTGAAATTTGCAGCAAATATTTTCTAGTAAAATTTTTGTTAAAGAAAAAATCTTAGAATTTTTACCTACTAAAGCCTGTATTTTAACAGAAAACTAATTGAAGGTTGAAAAGCATATATGAATAATGCAGCAACATATATCAATGATGTATAGAGTAATGTAAGTATCAGATAGCTAAAAGATATAACGAATATGTATTAGTATATATAAGATTTCAGAATAAGAAAGCAAACTCCTTGGTGCCAAACTCAAAACAAGCAATTCATGATTCACCTAGCTCACCCAATAGTAAGTATTACAGTATTAGAAAAAATAGATATTAATTGAATACAACGATGTATTTACATAAAGTAGTTAATTGATTATCTGATTATTTGATATTTATACGAGTACAGAATATAGTATATTATACATAATGATAATAAAGATAATATTAAACATATTTATTCCTCTTGCTCATCTAAATAACTAGTTGCTTCTAATTCGATCTCTAATTCATCAGATTACATACTTATAAGTACTGAATTTATCTCTTGAATAACATACTTTTGTCTTAATTCATATCTAGAATATTCTGAATTACAAATGATATCGATGCAAACACTTGCAAAAGCAATATTATTTTTGAAGTTTCTTCAGAGTAAATTTGTTCGATAACAGCAAGCCACTAAGTAAAATTTGGATTTTCAGAGTCTTTCGGATTTTATAAATCTTCAAAACATTTCTGAATTGTATCTTTTTGTTTCCATGCATTTACTTGGTCAGCTGATGGACGTGCATACTCAATTGGTGGAAAACAATCTTTGCTAAATACTTCTATTAGTGCTTTCTTTACCTTACTCTTTATTTCATTTCGATATTATTGAGCAATTTCTTTTGCCTAATTTAACAAAAGAAAATAAAAATATAGAAGTTGTAATTAGAGAGTATAATTAAGATTGAACTCAGATAAAATATCAATATATTATTCGAGATATAGTAAATTACTTGAATAACTCAAATAAAAGTTTTCTCAACAGGTCTAACTTCTAGTATTATTAAATTACTTGAGTTATTCAGATAATTTGCTATATCTTGAGTAACTATATTTTATCTAGATCCAATCTATCAAAATATAAATACCAATTTAAAACTTACAGCAGATATAATACTATTATTCCATAGACTTCTCCATGAAAGGTTTGTAAGAACAGCTTCAAGCTGACCCTTATTATGAATTTCAAGAGCCATTTTTGATACAATATCAAGTTGTTCATTTGATGGATACTTTATAGTATCCATTTTTTCACAAATTGCTTTACGAATAGTTTTCTGCAATAAAATACAAGTTAATAAAAAATATATATATAAATATATTAAAGTATTATACTAACATAAAACCATTGTTTTTTATGTGAATGTGTTTGATTTACAAAGGTTTTTTGCTGTAGTTTTATAAGTTCATATATTTCATTTTGTTCTTTTCTCATTTCAATAACTGTATCTGTAAGTGTATTAACCATTATATGAAGAGACTCAAGAAATCCAATTATAGCTTCTTCATTATAAAAATAGTAACGTTTATCTATATATAAAAAAATTAATTTTTTTAGAAATTATTTATTACTTTATATAATAAAATATATTTACCCAATCTACTTTTTTTTGGTTCTTTATTTATAAATTTGCCTTTTCTTTTATATGAATTGTTTATATTTAGAATGCTATCAACATCATTATCTGAATAGTTAAAATATTTATTATAAAATGTTTCAGAATCAGGTTCTCTATTAACAAATTGAGTTTTATCACTTCTTTGATATTGTCTACTATTTTCTAGATCTAGTACGCTATTTCTTTGATATAGTCCACTATTTCTTTGATCTAATATACTATTTCTTTGATCTAATCTACTATTTCTTTGATCTTCTATATTATTTCTTTGATTTACTATACTACTTTCTTGATCGAGTACACTATTTCTTTGATCTAATATACTATTTCTTTGATCTAGTATACTATCTCTTTGATCTAATAAATTGTTTGATATTTTTGGTTACAATACATTTTTTGAAGTAGACTGAATAAGTGTTTGTAGCTGTCTTGTTGGTTTTAGCTTAAATGACATTTCACGTAAATTTAATTTATTACGCCTCATTGATTATAATCTAAAATAATAAAAGCAAATAATAAATTTAATTTGATATAGTAGTTATAATAAAAGAGTGTAATTTAAATATATAATAATATATACTAGTAATTAAAAAAATATAAATAAAAGTATGAGTAAGAATTAATATAAAAATGTAAAATAATTTTGAATTTATATTTTAAATATAATAAATCATAGTTTAATTAAACTATTTCTATATTTAATAGCTACTATATATTTAATAATTATAAAAAAAAAAAGCTAGTTTAACGTAAGGTTAATTATATTTAAAGTCCGCTAATTATTAGTAATTATAAAAAATACTAATTTTCTTTATATTAAAACTAATCTCAGATTGGTTTCTCATAACTATTAATCAAACGATTTGAGTAATCATAAATTAATATAAATTCAAACTTTTATGAAATAATTTTTTATTAAAAATGTATTCTTGCAAAATATTCGGATGCAATAAAAAATTTCTAACTATACAAGGGCTTGGTAGCCATGAAAATTGGCATAAAACAAATGAAATACAAAAAAAAGCAACTAATAGTGCTGAAAGTTTTATAATTCAACAAAGTTAACAAAAAGTTAATAATATACCAAAAAGTAATGAATATAATTTAAATAAAGATAATTTAATTAAGAATAAATTAGAATTATCAACTTCGAAAATAAAAGTTAAAGATCTTGCAATTGTAATTTATATTCTTATAATGATAAAAAAACTTGTTAATTTTATATAAAATATTTATTATTAATAATATCTTTTGTATATTATTTTTAGATAAGAAAATCTAGAAAACTACAGACAAATATAATTCAAATATATGAATCATCAGAAATATTTTAAAATGAATTACTAGTAGATAATTCTAGTGATAATGAAAGTATTATATCTGAATTATCTGAAACTTTTGATATTTCAATTATATCGAATGAACAAGATTATGGTTTCTTAGATTCTTTAAAAAATGCACTAGCACAACTAAGTGAATGGCAATCATATTTTCCAAATGAAACATATGCAGATTTTATAAAATTAATTATTAATAATAATCTTTAAAATACTGCTGGCGATGCTATTATTAAGTTTTTTAATAATCATGCAAATAGAATAGACAAGCCACTTCCATCAACAACACAACAAGGTAGAGGTTATATTGATAATATAGAACAAACTGTTCATGATTTTCCAAATGAAATTATATTCGAGTTTGAAGAAACAAAATATTTAATGAATTATAAAAATATATTTGATAGCGTAAAAGAGCTTCTTTCTAGAGAAAAAATTAATAACTCATGTATTTTTGATTATCAACCAAAATATAAAAATTATGAAGTAAACCTAATTTCAATAATTTTTTAATTTTTTAATATAATTAATAATATTTTACTACTAAAACAATATTTATTATTTTATTAAATTAAATAGAGGATCTTACAACATTCTTATTCTGAACTTTATAATAGTATTTGGTGGGAAAAAGTTTATTATAAACTACCTATTGGAGCAAAACTACTTGCGATTATTTTATATAGTGACTCAACAGCTTGTGACAAATTTGGAAAAATATCAAAACATCCAATATATATGACTTTGGAAATATTCCATTAAGTTGAAGAAATCAGCAAGATGCTAAAGTATTACTTAGATTTCTTCCTAGTATAACATCTATTAATAAAAATTTAGATAAATATCGAATAGCAACAAAAAAAATTTTTCATCAAGCGATTGCAAGTATTCTTAAACCCTTACATGCACAATATGAAAAAGGTATATATTTATATATTAATAGACAAAGATGTTGGTTATTTATGTATTTATCTTTTATTATAACGGATTAGCCAGAGGCATATATGTGTTGTCTGACATATTCTTCATCACAAGCTCAATATCCTTGTCATTTTTGTTTAGTCAAAAAAGATGATCTTAATAATACTAATTTAGGAGAAAATATTATATTACGTACTGAAATTAATACAAAAGAAATTTTACAAAAAAATTTATATAAGAACTATTCAGTACATAATATAGATAACGCATTTTGGAATCATCAAAATTTTAATATATATAGTGCAACTATTCCAGATCATATGCATCATCTTGATCTTGGACTTTTTAAATACCAAGTTGAATTTACTTGTAGTTTATTAAAAGATCAAATGAGAAAGTCTATTTTACAAAAATTAGATGAACGTTTAGCCCAAATACCACGATTTCATAATTTACATATTTTTAAACATGGAATAAGCAATATTTCACAATTTACAGCATCAAATTATAGAGATATGATGAAAATATTTGTCTTTATACTTGATGGACTTATTAATTCTGATTTAGATCTTAATAAAACTATCTGTTAGCTATTTGTTAAATGGAATATTATGTATTTATGGACTAGATGTAATGAATTAAATGATGCTGATCTTATAATATTTGAGGTATTTTTGAAATTTATAATTATATATTTTTTAAATTAAATTAATTAATTATATATTTATTTTAGAAAAGTATTAATGAATGGGCAAATGATTTTAAACAGTTATTTACAAAATATTCTCCTTCAAATTTGAAGTTACCAAAGTTTCATTCGTGGATTTATCATACAATTTCATCAATTAAAGAATTTGGCACAATTAATGGAATGACTAGTGAAACATATGAAGCTTTACACAAAAATTATGTTAAACAATTATATAGTTTAACAAATAAAAAAGATATTGATAATCAACTTCTTAGTATGGTAAATAAATTTATATATCATTATCATTTTTATAAAATTTTAATTAGTAACTATTTAATTTTTTATAGATTCAACATAGAGAAATTTTGTATTCATCTTTACAACAAAAAAAATCAAAATGTTTTCAATATAATGAAAACTTTATTATTGACAAAAAATCTTGGTATAGTGTACAATTATATAATATTAATCACATAATTTTGCAATTAGAATCTGATAAAACTATACCACAAGAAACAATGCAAGGTTTTAAATATCTTCAAGAATGTATTAAAGATTTTTTATCTAATTTTGAAGATTTACAAAATACGAATATTCAAATTGAAATTTTTAAAAATGCTAAACTTAAATCTGGTATAATAATCAGAGCTTCACCTTCATATTATAAAGTGCCATACTATAGTAATATTGCAGTAGAATTGAATAAAGAAGAGCAACAACTGTATATAAATGATAATGGATATAGTTATGTGAAAGTAAGTATATCAATACAATTTAATAAAAATAATAATACATATATATAATATTTTAAATAACTAAATAATTACTATTTTTTTATAGATTTTATTAATTATTAAACTTATAACTTATAATAATAAAAAATATGAACTTGCGTTAGTAAATTGGTATCAATTTAAATATTCAAAATTATCAACAAAACTTTATATTTATAATTGTCCATATATAAAACTTACTGATAATTATAATCTTATTCCACTTAGTACTATTTCTCATGATGTACATATAGTTCAAGATTTTAATCATGATAATACTTTCTTTGTAAACAAATTTATGTTTTAAAATTTGTTTTACGTATTAATAAATTTATAATAGATATATACAATTTGTAGCATACATATACGTATCATATACATATCATGTTTCATATAGAATAAGTAATAATTAATAAATAGTTAAAACAGATACAAATATCGGCTAATTCGATTTTTATTTGTTATCTTTATCTCATTGCTATGATCAGACTAATTAAATTTAAACCAGTAATATTAAATAGGTTCGTATATAGCAAAACTATACTTAGAGTATATATAATATATATACTCTAAGCATAGTTTTGCTATGTACGAACCTATTTAATAAAAATTAAATAAAAATTAATATGAAATTAATATGTACTATGTATTAATTTATTTTAATAAGAAACTTGCATTAAAAATTATTACTAAATTATTATAAAATTATTATAATTTAGTAGTTATATTATTTATATATTAAATTATATTAACAAACTAATACTATATTTGAATGAATATAAGAATATTATTAGATTCTAATACAAAAGTAATATTACAAAATTCTTATATTATGAATATATTAAATATTATTAATTTTTTAATATAAAATCTTTTATAATACTATTGTAATATTATATTTAAATATTAAATTTATGTTAAAGAATTTCTAATACAAATTTAATATAGAAATAAATTTCCTGATGCTACCATTTAGATAAAAATAATTAATAACGATAGTAAAATTTGCATAATTTGCATTATAATAAATAGGGCTGCACATAAAACTATAAGCAATGTTATTATGATAATAAGTGCTATTATAATAATAAGTGCTATTATAATAATAAGTGCTATTATAGCAATATTCAGTGTAATCATTTATAAAAGAATAGAAAGATGGTCTTTTATAACCATAAATTGTGAAATCAAAAATGATAAATAGAATATAAAGCATAAAAATAACAAAAAAAATCAATTGAATTATGTCATATAATCTAGAACTATAATAGAAAATATATATTTAATTAAAATATTATATTGTATTTATATAGATATAAAAAATATCATTATAACAAATATATTTACCTTTGGGGTTTGTTGAAAATAGCAAAAATAAGTTGCACAAAAATCAGCACACCATAAGTAAGAAATGGGATAAATATAATACATAAAGAATATGCCGAATACAAATAAATTTGATATACTTTATATTCATAATATGTTGGTAATAGTAAAATAAAAAAGCACAATAAAAATAATATAGAAGAAAAAATGCCCTAAAAAGTGATGAAATTAATATTAAATAAATTAATATAAAAGAACAATTCAGATAAAATGTTTCAATATTTACAGATGCAAACCACGAGAAAAAAAACTCATAGGCTTGGTATATAACTTTGATTTGCAAAAAAATCTTACGAAGAGTAGAGTGCCTGCTTCTCCAGATATAATAAAAATGGGTAATAGCATAAAAGCTAGCAAGGAAATATTTATTTATATGACAATTTTGTTGGTGAACTAATTCAGGTAAAGTTTCAGGCATATCCATTTCAGCTTGAGCTGACTTTTGATAATACAATGTCCAAGAATCATTATGTCTTGTAACCAAATCAAAGTTAAGAATATGAGTAATAATATTATTAGTAGATATTTCTTCAGTGCAGTTTTGAAGGGCAAGATATCGATAGGCAGAGAAGCCTTCAGATAAAGAAGTAATATGGCCAAAGGCTGATTCAAATGGTTTATCCAGAATATATGACATTTTATAATTGAAATTTTGAGCACTCGCAATTGGGTTTAATGTTTTGATTTTGCTTCCACCTTTTATGAAATCTATATAACCACAAACACCTGCGACCTGAGGATTTACAAATAGTGTATTCCACAAGTTATAGAGAGATCCATAACCTTTTAACAAGAAATATAGTAAATATTAATATTTGAAATAATGGATAAGTACTGTAATACCATACCATTGATAAATTAATCTCAAATAAATATATTCTCTAACCTGGTTTAATACCAGCGTCAATAAGAACACATATTTTAGGGACAAGTATTGGACAAAAGGCATCAAAAAACCATTGATAAGGATAGACTCCTTTTTTGCTCTTTTCAGTAAGACAGAAAAGTAGTTGGGTTGGAACAATTTCATCATCCGCCTTCATTTGAACAGAATCAGTAAAATATTCAATTGAAATAGAACTTGTGTGCTCATATATATGTGCTTCGACAACTTTATTATCCACTTTGGCCTTTGCAATATCATTTTGATAGACACCAAGAGCAGTCAAATATGCCAAAACTTGTTCATTTGTATTATTACGACCATCGGAAATTATGCATACTACGACTTTTTTCCATCCATCTTTACCCTTACGATATTAATAGAAATAAATATTATATTAGAAGATAACTTCTATATAAAGTAATTAAAATGATAAATAAATACTGTACTTACCCACGTCGGAGAATCTCTGAGAGAGCAAAGGTAAGCAATATTTTCCATGATTCCATGAAGAGTACGGGATAATTGAATTTCAGTCTCCTATTAATACAAACACACAAGCCATCTGTAATGATATTATTAAAGAGAAACTAATTGATAAAATCTTCTACTTACATCAAAATGCACAGTTATTACAATAAATAATTCGGTTTGTCTTGAAGGTTTATATTCTATTTGACGAAGTGTAAAATTTTCTTTAAATGTTTCTGGTGTGCTTGTGCAGGCAGTGTATCTCATATGTGTGAATTCTTTTGAGTTATTATTGGGAATATTATTTAAAAGTTTTGTAGGCACTGGAAAATCTAATACTAAATTTCCATTTAGTAATTCAAACCGTTTTAGAATTTTTTGTGGATAAGATTGCTGTTCTGAAATTTCTTCAGGTTCGATAGGAATCGAAACAGAATTGCTGTCAACAATGTGATTTTGTGATGGCAATCTATTAAGGAAATGTTATTAATAGTAAATCTTTATGAACTGCTAATTTAAAAAGAGCTTCATACGCACGATCTGGTAATTTAGTATGTATGCATTTGATTAATAAGAATTCTAACGATGATTTCTGAAAAAAATAAATATAGCAAAAGATTAAACTCACTGGATGAGAATTTTATCGTTATTTTCATAATTATATTCATTTAAATTGCCGTATGTACTATCTATGTTGGTATTAATTTCATTATTAGATTGTAGAAACAGCAAATAAAAAATAAATAATATATTACTAACCATGTTCTTCAAGATGAATTTTCGAATTTAAAGTTTCATATGAATTCACGGAGTCTGGACTATATGACGAGATTTTTGACTGCAGTATACTT